TGCCGTGCTCTGCCTTCTCTCTAGCATGGAGACTGTAGTCACGTGATCCTACCCGGAGACCTGATTGGCCTAAAACAAGCATAGCATCCACTCTACTGTCAATATCGAATGAACAAGATAGCTTCATACTTCCTAAGCAACTTCGAAACCCAACAAGTGACCCCCAAGGGGGAATCCAAGCACAAGCTGATCTGGGCGCGTGGCTAGCGTGGGGGTGCACTGATACATCTAGAGGTTTTTAAGGGAGGGGAGGATGCTCATTGTCGGTGTACAAGTACACTGGCTGGGCAACGCGGGGTCCATCTTTCAGAAGAAGGGTGCATCTGCGCCCGATGCACCCGACTACACCCTTTTTTTTTAGAGTGCGTCGCCCATGAACAAACCATTGAAATGCGATGTTTTCGACGTCGGTGTCAGTCCCCTGCCCCTTTTCACGTTCGAATTGTTAATTCTACGTCTTCCTGACCTTGCCTGACTACTTGAGTGGCCTCAGCGAAATTACCGAGGCTCGTTACACCGCAAAACTTCGCGTGAATAATCTGGCATGCGGTGATTCATTCCGCGTGGACGCCACAGAATGTACGCTAAAGCCTGATTCGCATGATGAGATTTCGCTGGTAATTTTCAGTCGCGACGTCGCTCGCGCTGCAAAAGCGTGGACCGTAGCTGAGATGGTCGACGTCGATACTGAAACTCGCAAGCAGAATCGGACCAAGTGAATCAGGCATAACAAGTCGGTGATGGCTGTAGTGGTCGCGTGGGGCCATTACGGGTGGGTGGTAAGAGACAGGGAAAGCTAGGATAAAGACAGCGCCCCGAAAGGCCTGTAGAGATGCTGGAAAGGCTTACATTGCCGTGGCGCGTGGGACGCGAGATGGTCGGTGGCCGAGGACCAAGCGGGCACACCGGTAAAGGAAGACACGACACGCCAGCTCGGAGTTTCGATCAAGACTGCTTGTATTTTCAATATCTACATCAATCAGCGCGTGCCGCTGTCAAGCACGCGGCGCGCGGCACCATCTCAAATGCAGCTGAAAACGTCATCTAGATTATTTACAGCACACTACATCTTCTCCTCCCTTAATAGAAAAATAAATGTTAAATAATTTATTAGGGAAGAGAAGAAAACAGCTTACTCCTTAAAGAAAATACAGAGTTCACGCACACACAAAATCCTACTAATCACCATAAGCGAAAAAAATAAACAGAAACTAATATAATAACGAAAGGAAATACTGCATACGGGAGTAACACAAAATGTCAAATGTTCTACCCGTAGTGGGACTGGGTGAACAAAACTCTAACACATAGTCTCTCAATCGTGCCGGCAGACGTCTCTGTCGCCTTGGGCGATGATTGTCCGATGGAGATGCCTGGGGAGTCGTAGGGGTGGATGGCTCCGATCCATCACGATCACTTGCTGTTGGTGACGATTCTAATGTCACGTCAAGAGTATCTCTAGAGCCCTCTGTTAAAGTATGGTCCATTGGAGGCTCGGAAAGTGTGGCGACCTCTGGTCCCACGGAGTTAAGTGACTCCGCCGAGACCGTTGCGGAGCTAGATGATGGCAGCTCGCTGCAATACCCGAGTCCCAGTTGAGATGAACTTGATGCGGTGCTCAATATGGCACCACTTGAAGGAACGGAAGGTTCAGAACCCTCCTGGACAGCGACCCTGGGGGCCTCTTGGAAGACTGCAGCCGGGGCAGCCGGCGGGACTGGTGGCTGGCTGCTGGCTTGATTGCCTGGTACGGCGGCGCGGAAAGCCGCTTGGTAACCGAAATCAGGAATGGCACCGGGGACTGGGGTGGCGGGAAGGCCACCGAAGACCACCGCACCTTGCACGGCACAGGGTGCCGCGGGAGCAGGAACGTGAAGGGCACCGGGTACATCCGGTACATGGGCAGCGCCAGGCACCAGAGCTACATGGCCAGGACCGGGTGCCGTAGAAGCATGGGCGGCAACAGGGTCCGTCGGGACAGGACCGGCAGCAGGGGCCGCAAGAACCGGAACGGCAACTGGGGCCGCAAAAACAGAAACGGCAGCAGGGGCCGCAAAAACAGGAACGGCAACAGGGGCCGCAAATGCAGGAACGGCAACAGGGGCCGCACTAGTTGAAGTGGGGAATATGTCATCGTCCATAAGCCACAACGGCTGACGTTGGTGCGGTTTCCACGTGGTACGTGTCATTTTGGCTGCGTTCCATGTGGTTCCGTCATCTAATCTATATGTGGCTGGCCCTACTTGTTCCTGTATGCGTTGCGGTGGAGCATACTTGTTTCGCATCTTTCCTCTAATGTTGGGTTTGAAAACCTTTACTGATTGACCAGGAGCAAAAGCAGGGTGCTTAACTGCTCGCCTGGCATCTGAATACTTTTTCATCTTTGTTTGATACTCTTTGACTCTGTCAGGAAGTTCTTCCTGAATGACATGTGAAGGGACGGTGGACTCTGGGGTCCCTCGCCCTTGGAGGTGCAGTCGCGTTCGGTGAGTGCGACGATGTAGAAGAAATGCTGGTGTTTCTCCTGTCGCTGCATGGCGAGTACTTCGGTAAACACTAAGATATTCCGTAATGGCTTCAGAAAGCGGACGATGTTGGACGAGTGCCAACTGAATGACAGACTTAAGAACTCGATTAAATCGCTCTACCTGCCCGTTAGCATGGGGATGGTAGAAGGATGACTTTGCATGCTTGATGCCATGCGTCTTTAAGAAATCGCTGAACTCCTTTGAAATAAATTGTGGACCATTGTCTGTCGTGATCTCTTGCGGCAAACCCTCGCGGGCAAAGACAGACTTCAAAAACTTTATGACTGTGGCAGTCGTGACGTTGTGGGCTGGTGCCACTTCAGGCCACTTACTGTGGTAATCTACCAGTGTAATGAAAAACCTCTCTTGAGCTGGGGCTCGTTCAAAGGGACCTACTATATCCATGCCCAGTTTTACCCATGGACGGTTGGGGAATTCAACTGGTTGAAGAGGTGCTGGAGGTGCCTTTGCAGGCTTGTCTGTCGACTGACATACCGAACAGTTCTGAACTTTCGTCCTGACATGTTGACTTAAATGCGGCCACCAGTAAAGCTCCTTGATGATACTGGTGGTGCGCGAGATACCTTGATGGGTTTCGTGAGCTACATCAATCACTTGATCGCGGAGAGTGGACGGAACCACTATTTTCTCTCCTTGGAACAACAAGGCATCGGTGACTGAGAGCTGGTCTCTTACAACGAAATACGGCTTGAATTCTGGAGGCAACTTGTCCTCTGAAGGCCATTTGTTGGAAAGATATGTCATGACAATGGGCAATACAGGGTCTTTTGCAGTTTCTTCCTTGAATTCTTTTTCTGTGAGGCATGCACAGACGATTGAAACCACTTCCTCCTCAAAAGCCATGCCTTCTTCGGTATCTGAGACCGGAAGGCGAGACAGAGCGTCGGCAACTACATTGTCGCTTCCTTTGCGATACTTCATGGTGAAATTGTAGTTGAAAAGTCTAGCCGTCCAGCGACTGATGCGCCGTGGACGGACACCTGTCCCTTGAGTGGACATTAATGTGACTAGAGCTTGATGATCGGTGTGAATTTCGAAATGTCTACCCCAAAGATAAACGTGCCATCTCTCGCAAGCCCAGAGGATTGCGAGAGCTTCTTTCTCTCCTGCTGAGTACTTCCGCTCTGCTTCGGAGAGAGAGCGGGAAGCGAAAGCAACAGTCTTTAGTTTCCTCCCATGCTGCTGCTGGAGAACAGCACCTAGTCCCTAATTGGACGCGTCTGTGGAGACGACAACTGGAAGATTTGGATCGAACATTGCAAGAATGGGAGCCTGCTGAAGGCAGGACTTGACACTTTGAAAACTGGCCTCTACGTCGGTCGACCAGACAAAAGATGCGCCCTTGCGCAGAAGCCTTCGGAGGGGTTCTACCAGAGTAGCACAATGGGGGACAAACTTATTGTAATATTCTACTAGACCTAGGAAGGCCTTCAACTGCGAAGGTTCCGATGGAACTGGAAAATTTAGGACCGCGTCAATCTTCGACGGAAGGGGTGCTAGACCCTCCGCAGACAGACGATGACCAAGGAATGACAGTTCAGTAGCATTGAAAACGGCTTTTTTATTTAGCTTCATGCCGGCCTCTCTAATACATTTGAGGACTTGTCTGAGATTTCTATCATGTTCCTTCTGAGAGGAGCCATAGACAATGACGTCGTCCAGATAAAACTGGACTCCTGGACAATGTTTTAATATCTTAGACATGATCTGTTGGAAGGCCGCTGGTGCAGACGCCAGACCGAAACAAACTCGTTTGAAACGAAAAAGCCCTTCATGGGTAATGAATGCCGTTAAGTCACGACTCTTGGGGTCGAGACGGACCTGGTGATAAGCAGACGCAAGGTCTAACTTAGAAAAATGGGAAGCTCCACTGAGGGAGTTCAGAAGCTCATCAATGTGCGGAAGTGGAAAAGAATCAATAACGACAGCCTGGTTTGGCGCTCGCAGATCGACACACATACGGATTCCACCGTCTTTCTTCTTAACTACTACAATGGGGGATACCCATTCCGACGCGTTTACGCGCTCGATAACGCCTTGGCACTCGAGCTTCTGAATTTCCGCACTGACGGCATCACGCAACGTGATCGGCAAGCGGCGAAGTTTAGCCTGTACCGGCGGGACATGGTGCCGGACAGTGATTGTGTGTGTTTGGTTTTTAAGTAATCCTAATTCAGGAGAAAAAAGATCCTCAAATTCTTCAAAACCAGAAGGTAACTTCGATGCATCGCTCACCGAGGAAGGTTGCAAAGACGGTCGCGACGTCGACGGATCCCTTGAAGTCTGGTCTCCGAAGACGCCTCTACTTGAGTAGTACTCAGACGACGTGGATGGCTGAGAGCCGTGAACAGTGGACGATGATAGAGGGTGCTTGCAGGGAGCACTTGAAGTACTCGGCGGAGGACTGGGCTCCGCCGCACCTGGGGACTGCGGAACTTCGGCCGACCTTACATGGCCTGGGATGGCTGCGCAAGAGTCCGCAGAATTGATATGGAAACATTTGAGTGGAGCACCCGACAAAATGAGACGAAGTTTATGCACGGCATCTGTCCCAAGCAGGGATCGGCCATTGCGAACAACGTAGAAAAGTATCTCGGCGGATCGCTCTTTAAAGCCGACTTTGGTCTGGAAACATCCCACGACTGGAATGGACCCTCGGAGGTAGTGCACAAGAGTGCGCGGTGGTTTCCTTAGCCGGATTTGCTGCTGGGAGTTAATCTTGTTAAACATGCTCTCGGAAAGTATTGAAACTTCGGAGCCAGTATCAATGAGTAATGGTAATGTAGATCCATTCACATGAACATCAGCGGTGAAATTCCGTGGGCGACTGTCGGCGCGTCCTTTTGGAAGGACCTCCGGTGACCCGACGGTGCAAATTTTCGGCTGCTGCTCCTCTTCGTCAGAAAATGCCACGCTTTCATGGCTGGTTGTCTGGTTACGGCCAACTCCAAGCCGCTGGTACCGGCGACCGGCGGCCCGACCACGTCTCGGCGGAAAGGCCAGCTGACGACGATCGCTGGCAGCGGACGATAGAGGAGAACTCCGGCAAACATTTGAAAAATGACCTAGTTTGCCACAAGAAAAACAAGACAATCCTGAAGCAGGACATTCCTCACGTGAATGGGGTCGGCGACCGCAGAAATGACATAACTCTGCCCCGTGCCTAAGAGCGCGCGCGCCCGGCGGAGCATCACGCGGTACTCGGCTCACGAAAGTGCGGGTGTGTGCGCGCGACTCGCGCGACTGGTGTTGCGGCGAGAAGGAAACATTTGCGGGGGAGCAGGAAATGGCATGCCGCCGCTCTCCATTTTGATCTTGGATGTTCAAATTCGAATTCGATCGTCGGCCATCTTGTTCACGCTGAATAAAAACCCCTTGTACGACCTGAACGGCGTGCGGCGTTCCAGAACGCGATAAACTGGAGGGAAATTGGCGGTACCGATCGCAATCTCGAGACGCCTGTTCGAACTGCTGTGCTAGAAGCACAATACGTTCGAGGCTGGGTAGTCCAGCTTCCGCAGACTCTCGGATTACCCGATCTTGTACCTCCGATGAATTTAAACCGGCCAAAAAGACTTCCGCGATGCGGTTTTCAAAGGACTCTCCGAAATCACAAAAATAACCAAGTTGCCTGAGTGCGCTAAGGTAGTCGAGGACGCTCTCTCCCGGTGATTGGACGCGGTTGAGAAATTGCTTGCGTTCGACGACAACGTTAGCTTTGGCAGCAAAATGCTCATCAAGTGCCGCTACGAGCTCATCAAATTCAGAAACGGCCGCGCTGCTGGCGGGGACTGTTGAAGGAAATGTCGAAACTATTCGTTGGCCTTCCAAGCCAAGCAACGCCCACAGTAGTGTGCGCTTGCGCTTAGGAGAGCTTTCATCTGCCTCTATGGCCACAAGATAATTGAAAAACGACGTTTTCCAACTTAGCCAAGGCTGCGCAGGGGCACCTGGCGTGGGAAGAAATGGTGGTAGCGTCGGTAAGGAAGCCGTCGCCATCCTCTTACCGTTGCGAGATAGTTTGAAAGATTGACAAAAATAATAGAAATTTCACCCCAAATGAGAACGGGAACAGTTTTCTGAGTTACGAAAAAGAGATGGACGCTTCCGTGCTGTGCGCACTACATGCGTAAAAGGAAAAGAACCATTCGAACGCGTTACGCGTAACCACTACTGATTTTTGAAATGGAACGTTGACGGACGAAATGGAACGAGTGTCGCGATACGTCGACATTATTTTATGTACTACATTTCGCACGGAAAAGATGTGGTGGATGCAAATATTCCAAAAGGACCTAACATTCTGAACGCTACAATATTAACTAACACACAAAAAGAAAACCATACATGCCGGTGTTGCCACCACTCATCTCCGGCACGGAGTCTGATCAAATGTTCACGAGAGGCGAAAATGAAAAAAAAAAATGAAAGAAAAGACCTCGTAGCCAAAATGTAGTGGTCGCGTGGGGCCATTACGGGTGGGTGGTAAGAGACAGGGAAAGCTAGGATAAAGACAGCGCCCCGAAAGGCCAGTAGAGATGCTGGAAAGGCTTACATTGCCGTGGCGCGTGGGACGCGAGATGGTCGGTGGCTGAGGACCAAGCGGGCACACCGGTAAAGGAAGACACGACACGCCAGCTCGGAGTTTCGATCAAGACTGTTTGTATTTTCAATATCTACATCAATCAGCGCGTGCCGCTGTCAAGCACGCGGCGCGCGGCACCATCTCAAATGCAGCTGAAAACGTCATCTGGATTATTTACAGCACACTACAATGGCCACTGGTAACAATGATCAACATCTCCCAGTGTCTAGAGTTTACATCGAACTTGCTTACCAACTTTAAGACTTTTGAGGCCACTTAAGTCTTTTGAGGCCTGCACCACTTAAGTCTTTTGAGGCCTGCACTTACTTCTTATCGCAAGTACCGGGCCAACATTTAGTCTACGGGCGGGTGTCGTCTAAAAGACCAGACGACAAGCAGTAGCGTGTGGAAGAGCAGACGACAGTTCGAACGATCAGGCGGCCGTTTGAAATTGAAGGCGCACTGAACGTCGTCCGCAGGTGGTCCGTACAACTTGAGGGTTTTCCGGTGTTCATGTTGGAACAACACAAATAAATGTGATGACCTCAGATATACGTGAATTCAACCCAAAGTGCTTTCCGCCCAAGCAATCGGTGTCCGACGGCGTCTGGTTTTCCATTTTCACGGCACATATCCACGTTCTCGGACGAACCGGGCACATGAAAACTGATCTTCAAACCTTTCTCGACTCTTTTGGTAGAGTCCCAGTCGCGGCGTTTTCACAAGAAGATAGGTTTTCGTGAAATTCCTTTCAAAACAACGCAGGAATACATGCCTCACTTGGGGCCTTCTGCCCACAGCCCAAGACCGGAAATGCGCCCGACGCGCCACTACCGCGCCGTGACGTAACAGAGATGAGTTCGTGTATACAGTTTTTCTTTCTGTTCAAAATATGTATCAAATATGTTGTATCACAATGCCTTCTTTTTATTTTAGCGATGCAGCTGGATATACAATACGTCGGGCGACAGTTTGAATAAATATTTAGGCCATTTAGTACTATATATAATTCAGTATTCGTGCATCCTAGAATGTAATCATGCTCATTTATCTATTTTCAAATACGATGCCCCTATTTTTCGAACTGCGAACACGAATTTGCTTTTCCTTAAGAATAAAATTATATGTATACTTTCTAGTTAATCCCTGTTTTACATCAACTGTTTGTTACAATATTATAAATTACCAGTGGTTTAGGAGATAACCGGCAATCATAGCTTAATGCGGCCAATGTCGGAGCGGCCGCTGAGCAATGTGGAGACTTGTTGAACCTGTGCTAGAATGTTTTTCGACGTCAAATTGACTGTCATAGTAATGAGCGACTTTAATATTAACATTTTGCAAAAATCTATTGTGGTTAATGAATTTATTGATATTCTATACTCAAACGGTTTCTCAAATATAATTGATATACCCACTCGCATTACAGATTCTAGAGAAACACTAATCGACATATGTTTAACGAGCTGTTATAAAAACGACAGTGAGGCAGGGGTACTCACAAGTGATATGTGATCATTTATCACTGTTTTGTTTCATTCCAGAAAGTTTGTCGCATACTGCCAGACAAATGATTACAAACACTTCCGCGCGAATTATTACAGAGAAAAAATATCAGCATTTTCGTCAACTTGTAGCTTCAGTGGACTGGAGTGATTTATTACAGATGGCAAATCTCAATGATGTGTTCGATTTGTTCCTGAACAAAGTTATCAGCTTCTATGATTGTGCATTTTCTGTCGTAATATTAAAGAAAAATAAAAAGGCAAAAAAAAAAAGTCATGGATACATTAGACTTATTGCACAGAACTAAGGCACGAAGCAAACTATATCATGCATTTATATTAAGCAGAGACTTATCTATATTTGCAAGCGTTCCAAAAATTTAGAAACAAAATAGGGGTTGATATTAAGAAGTCTCGCATTCGCTACTATACTGATAAGTTCGCAGACATTTGCTATGGTCCGCAGAAAACTTGCCGTACTATCAAAGGCCTATTGCAGAGAACACGGAACAGTGTACCAACTAAAATGAAAAATAGGCGACGAAACTTTAAGTGGAAAGGCTCTTGATAATGAGTTTAATCGACATTTTTTAACCTTTGGAGCCTCCGGTCAAACGACCACTGGAAATTTGGAAAAGCACATAAAGCACAACCTTACCCGTACTATGTTTCTTGACCCTACTACCATAGAGTAATCTACACAAGGTAAAGAGCGGACACTTCCATAGGCCCCAGCGGCCCATTTAGCTGGCAAGGAGCGCACTCAGCGGCCGTCGTAGTCCCCAACTCAATGAATGGAGTCACAATAAAAAAAAAACTTACCGGATGAATAGATATCTAGTTTTGCGTAGTGTGTTGGGTGGTAGCCTGCACCATCTGGTTTGCCGCGAGTTATGTCTTTCCTACTATTCTCGCATGCCAAATTTCAGCTATAATTGCTTCACACCTATGTGTGAATCCTAATGCGGAAAACTAATGGACAATACTATAAACAGTCAACACTGACTTTACAAACCAGAAAGCCCTGTAGGTTTGTGCTGTATAGAAGAATACCACCAGGAAGTAATCGACAGTTTATTTTCGAAACAAAAAAATATGATGGGCAGTTCGTGCCTCGGATATAATTACAAAAACTAGAAAATCAAGCAGGTTGTAGCAAGTATTCACAAACATACATAAAAAATAACGACAAGCATATTATGGCATGCATAAAAATCTTATCAAGCAACTGGAATTACAACGGCAATTGCATTAAAAACCTGTTTTGTATTCTCAAGCAAGTTCCATGGAAGGCACACACACACATATAACATATGCAACATCAGCAACAGATACGAAAAAAATCTCGTCATGCAGTATCAAAGCTCGTTTATCCAATGAAATTTGTATGCAAATAAAAGGTCAGCATAACAATTCTGAGATGCACAATGACCACAATAAAAAAAAACAGACAAGAAAATTCCTAAACGAGATTGCCACTAGTATAGACCTACTTAGTCTGTCACATACTCATGAAATAACCTTAACGCAGCCTTCACTGCAGAGTTAAGCATACCTAGCTCCTACTGATTTAAGTAACAATAATCACCAAAATAATACTAACTGAGAGCCAACCGACGAACTAATAAACGTTTTACGTTCATAGTTGGTTGGTTGATTGGGGTTTAATAGCGCAGCAGCGACCAAGGCTATAATGCGCCAACAACTAGAACTATTGCTGAAATCAAGGTTAAAGAGAAGAAAGAGCTATAGTAGTTTGTAATTCAATAAAACAGTGATCATGAGAGTACAAGCATATAAGATGTGGCAATGAATATGACGAACTATTAAAATTATAGCTGGTCCAGCAGTCTTACATTCTTAAGAAAGTTGAAAACACACTTGTGTGGAATCAACGGCTCATCGCTGAGTAAAAGGGCGAGATGTAATGGTGTATGCTCTTGGTAAACCTTAGCAAAGTGTCTGTGGCGTTCTTGGTCATACAAACGGCATACAAGTAAAATGTGCAGGATGCTTAATGGTATGTGACAGTGTTCACACTCTGGAGCATCCTCCCCTCGCAAAAGGTGCCCATGGGTAAGGCGTGTATGACCGATTCGGAGTCGACATAATACCACCTCATAAAATCGCTCATGATGACGTGCACTCTCCCATTCTTGAATTAAAGGTTTTATGGCATGCAACTTATTGTTCATTTCTTGGTTCCACTCCTCCTGCCATTTGAACTTTGTAGATTTTTTCAGGGCATGTTTATAATCTCTGTAGGGTATCTTGTGCAGATCCACTTGTCGATCCTTAACAGTGCTCGCTGCACGGTCAGCATCCTCATTCCCAGGAATTCCTACATGGGAAGGTACCCAGCATAATGTTATTTCTTTCTTCCTTTTTGATGCTGAAAGGAACCGGTTCTTTATTTCTAGAACAAGCGGATTTTGAACATCCCCCGTTGTTTCCAGAGCTCGTAAAGCACTAAGTGAGTCAGTTTAAACAATTGACTTACGGATCTTTTTTTTTAAGAATGTGGTCTATGGCAAGGAGTAAGCCGTAAAGTTCTGCGGAAAGAATACAGGCATTATTTTTCATTCTCTGGACACACTTCACGGAAGGCCCTACCACTGACCAGCCTACATAGGAATCAGTTTTGCTCCCATCAGTGTAGAAACTTGTGAAGTCTCGGTACTGGTCCTGGAGTTCTAAACATTCTTGTCTCAGAACTTCATTAGGGGTCTCTTTCTTGTTGTATTTTGTTAGTTTCAACTCACAGTGGATGGGCGTGAGGTCCCAAGGAGCTACGGAGTTCAAGCGTTGCACAACTGAGGGTAGCACATCCAGCCCTACGGACTCAGCAGAAGAACGAAATCTCATGGCGAGAGGTGGAACAAATGAAGGCTTGTTTATGAAAGTCTGCT